GGGGGGGGGGGGGGGGGGGGGGGGGGGGGGGGGGGGGGAGGAGAAAGAGGAGGAGCAGCGACCGCCTAGACCCCGGCGCCGAGCGCGGCTCGGAGACGGACACCGCGCGCCGCCCGCACTCTTTCCGTGGAGCCTACCATTCGCCGCGCGCTCGGGAGGGGGCCCGGGCCGGGGGCGGGGCCGCTGCCTCGGCCTCCCGCGCCCCCGACTTCGGGGACACACCCCCCCGGGGGGCGAGGGCGGCGGCCGGCGGCCCGGCGTGGGCCGAGGTGGCGCCCCTGGCTAGGGGTGGGGGGCGCCAGCTTCAAGACCAGACCTCGGTCCCCTCCTTGGAGCCGTGGGGCGGCCCCCGCCCTGGCGAACTCGCTCCTAGCGCGGCGCAGGGGCTGGGGAGGCGGTGGGTGCTTGGGAGAGAGGGGTGCTCGGAAGAGGGGCCCGGGAGGGGAGCGGGGATGGAGCTCCGGGGGAGGGAGCCGCACGCCCGAGCTGCGAAGTGGAGTTCGTGCTTTGCTGGTTCCTTAAAAGGTGGGTGGGAATTGTTCAGCGGGAAGCTGGGCTATCTCACTGTCCACCTCCACCCCCACCTCCGCCGCCCCAACCTGCGCTGTCCCCCCTTCTCCGAAGGAGCACCCTGTCCTTCCCCGGGGTGGATCAGTGGCGCTCTGGCCTCCCCACCGCCCTGAACCAGTGTGTGCCTCTAAGGTGGTCCTAAGCTTCTTAGCTGGGCTAGATATTGGGGGGCAAACCAGGAGGGAAGACTGGAAGGCGTCAGTGGGGCTTCCCTCTTCCTCCTCTTACTGGGAGCAGGAGTGTTGAGGCCCCGCTGCCTCAGTCTACCTGCTCCTTCTTCCTGGGAGAACAGAGGTAACCTTAAAGTTGATACACCCAGCAAGGGCCTCTTTCTCCCGGAGCACAGGCTTTGCATTTTTCACTGGGGCCCTGGATTCCAGCCACCAGACCTTGTTACCATAGCAAGCTTCATTCCATGCAAATAGGACCATTTAAAACAGTCAGTGTAACCCGGCACAACAGAACAAGCGTGCACCACCATTCCAGCTGGGTCAACCTCAGGAGGGCAGCTCAGAGCCAACTGCAGAAGCTGATGATGGTCTCTGGCAGGCACAGAGGTTGCTCACCCTCCAGATTCAACAGCATTTGTTGGAAGCCTACTGTGTGCAAAGTGCTTAGGATGCATTATCATCTCTTTGGAGTAAGGGTTATTATTCCCCATTTAGAGGCGAGGAAACAGCCTCCGGGCAGGGTTAAGCAGTTTACCCAAGGGGCCTGCAGAAATCAGGTGAAACCAGGACTGGAAGTAGCAGTCATCTGATTCCAAGTTAGTCCCACTGTGCCTTGGATGCTAGATTTTTGTTTTCCTTTTATATGTAACCATAAAAACACTCTTGCTCCGTCCCCCTGTGAGCGCTAACAAGCTTTTGTAAGAGAGAAGGACAGTGTTAGATAGTGGAGCCTGTGGCAGCAGACTTAATTGTTCACTTGTCCACTCTACTCAGCTAACTGGCCAGCTGGGTTTTGAACCCCTGACCTTAGTCCCATAAGCAAAAGTTCTGAGCCACTGGGCCAACCAAGGCACTTAGACAGGTTGGTAGTTTCATAAACCAGGATTTAGTTCTTTGAAGTCTTTCAGTTTTGTTATGGAGGAACCATCAAAAATAGAACTTTGTGGGTCTTCAAGGGAGGGGTGTGATGTTCAGCCACTGTGGAAAGCAGTTTGCTGGCTCCTCAAACAGTTAAAGATAGAATTACCCATATGATCCAGCAATTCCACTCCTGGGTATATACCCCAAAGAGGTGAAAACAGATATTCAAACAAAAATTTGTACACACATGTTCACAGAAGCATTATTCATAACAGCCAGAGGTGAAACAACCCAAATGTTTGTCAACAAATGAATGATTAAACAAATTGTGGTATATCCATACAGGGAACGTTACTGAGCCATGAAAAAGGGTAAGGTATTGACACGCGCTACAATGTGGATAAACCTCTAAAACATTACGCTAAGTGAAGGAAGCCAGACAGAGAAGGTCACATATTATATGATTCCATTTATATGAAATACCCAGAATAGTAAATCTATGGAGACAAAGCAGATTTGTGGTTACCAGGAGTTGGGGGGAGGGGAGAATGGGGAAGAACTACTTAACAGGGACTGAGTTTTACTTTGGGGTGATGAAAATGGTTTGGAAATAAACAGAGGTTGTGGTTGCACAACATTGTGAATGGACTAAATGCCATCTAATTATTCCCTTTAAAAAGGTTAATTGTATGTTACATAAATTTCACCTCAATAAAAAAAAGTATGTTAGCAAGTACCAGAAAAAGAGGAAAAGGGCTGTCCTGGAAACAAACCTTCTGAGAAAACAGTTAAGAGCAGCTCTATTTGAAGAGCTGTGTGCGTGCTCGTGTGTGTGTGCGTGTGTGTGTGTGTGCGCGTGCGTGTGTGTGTGTGTGCGTGGCGCACTCACACCTCTGTAGAGCACTCATGGGTAGGCACCGTAATTGATCTGTTTACATGTCTCTTTCCCACTTCACTGAGAGCTCTGCGTGGGAGGAGGGTGGTCATTTTTTAGTGTTACTTCTCTTTGCATCCTTGCCACCTAACCCCCATAGGACGCGCTCTGCAAATGTGTGAGTAGTTTGTATGGTAAACAAACTGACCAAGTGTTACCCATTTTCCTCTTCAGTGAGATTATTCCCACACACCAGCATCTTCAAATCAAGTCAAAACAAAACAAGCCAAACCCGAAAATCTAACCAGGAGGAAAGAAAGCAAAGACACCCATTCCTTGGGCCCCTTTTCATCTCTCTCTGCCCTTCTCTTCCCCAACTGTGCTTCTGAGCTCTCAAGAAACTCTCCTTAGAAACTCTTGGGGTGCCTCCTAGGATTTTAAAGAATTTTATTTTTTGAGATTTTTTTTTTTCTAAAATGAAAAAAGGGGCTTTTCCCGGCTGTGTCTCCTTACGTTCACTCACATGCAAAAGGATCAGATCTCAGACATAAAGCCTGAGATTAATTACCCTCTAGAATCCACTTGATTTAAAGTGAAAAGTTTACTTAATCTACCTCTCCTTCCCCCTCCCCCAACTTCCACCAGCACTTCTACCTAGGTGATGTCGGGTAACAAAATAGTCACAGAATCTGTGTCCTTTCCCACTTGCCTGTCTGTAGGGCTAATATGCATTTACAGTTCATTTCTTGGGGGACACATATAAACTGTCGGCTGACGGGCTCTCAGAGCTGTCATCCATAGCTCTCTCTGGGGTTCGCAACTATGAGAATTCAACAGTACTGTGCGTTCTGGTTCAAGATTCTCCCTTCTGCGTGTTCCTAAAGGAGCCCCCACCTCCCATCGCAGCAAACTGATGTTAAGAACCAAGCCAGAAAATGTGCTCACTTCATAGGGACCTGCTGCTGTTCTCCCAGCGTCACCGGTTGCCGTCTCTCGCCATCAGCGAAACCCCATCCGAGGCTCAGGCAGTGCACTGGCCCTTATGCGGTCACCAGCCTCCGTCAGTACGTGCTGAATGATCTTTCTGAGCAGAATGAGTAAACTATGCCATGCACATTGGGTGCCTGTCAAAGCTCGCCAGGGCGTTTTGGAAAGTCTGTAAAACCATCCCAGCTCAGAGAAAGAAAATTCCTGATAAGGACCAAGGCAGAGAGCCTAACTCATTGCTGACAGAAGTGTCATACCCACCTCCCCTCTTCCATGAATAGAGCGACTTTATAATGTAACGTCTAAACTGGGACATTTTCGAGAGTGAAAGAGGGTGCTATGAGTAATGAAGCTGGGACAAGTGGCATAAACTGGAATGGTCCCAGGAAACCCAGTACATATATGGTTGCCCCACCCTACAACCAAATGATGCTCTTTGGTCCTAGAAGGCAAGTTTGGGATCCTTTACTCCAGCAACCTCATTGTTTACTGAAGGAGAAAGAGAGACTTTGGTTCTCCAAAGAGCTGGTGGTTGACTGCACAACTTCATCTCCCCATCCCCCATAACTTCATATCCACGAAGATTCTTGCTTCTGTCATTAAAACCCTTCTCATCCTAGGTCTCCCCAGGAATTCTCGCCACATTTTACTTAACAAAGTACTTTCACATCTCTCTCCTTATCTTCTCTTTGCAACAAATCCATCAGGTAGAGGCGGTACCTGGAATCTGCATTTGGCAGAAGAATACACTGATTTTTAAAGGGTTTGTCCTAATATCACGAAACTGGACTAAAAGGTCCTTGAGACAAGCCCCATGTCGGCATGTCCTTCCTCCTCTTAGCCCCTAGGACTCAATACAAATTTGTCAAGTGGATGAGCTGGGACCAGGCCTAGGGTATCCCCACATGTGGCCTCCTTTTCTCTCTGCGTCAATCAGGCAGCTGGTTTCTGTCCAGCTCAGGGACTGGAGGCAGCGTTCAAATGCTTCTCCTTGCAAAGTTAAGTTCCTACATGGGACCTGGTGGCACAGGGGAGGTCTGAAGGAGAAGCCCGGGAGTCAGCGTCCTGAGAAACCTTGGTGCTTCTTGGGGTCGGCGTGTGGCTGCCCATAGGAGCCAGGAAGAAATGTGGTCCTGCCTCTTTCACTTCCTGCAATCAGTATCCCTTACTGGGCTCTATGAGGCACACCTCTGGACAGCAGGCTGGTGTCAGTGTTTCTTAAAGTGAGGCTGAAGGTCCCTTTGTGGAGGGATGTGGGATGTGGGATGTGGAGTCCCCAGAAGATGCTCATTAAAATGTAGACACTGAGCCCTAATCCTGACCAACCAGAATCTCTGGGGGAGGTTCTGGGGATCTGCATTTGCCGCAAGGTTCTCAGGAGTATGTGGGGCGCAGTGAAGTTTGAGACTCACTGCT